TTTTTAATCTTTACCTCGATTTTATTGGAGGCAAAATCCAATATCGAGAAACAGTCATTATTATAAATATCAAAACAATTGTTGTTTGCATGGAAATGTTTGTATATGTGTTAGTTTTTGTCTCTCTGTAGTCTTCAATCATTTGTGTTTTGAGGTGGCTAGAAGATTGACCTATATAACTGGAATTACATCCGGCGCATACAAATTTATAAACATACTCTGCGTATTTTCATATGTAATGAAACGTAAATAATTTATTTTTTAATTTTTTAGATATGATTGGGTCCTGTAAAATAAATAATTTCAAATAAAAACCATATATTTAAAATAAAATATGTATTTAAAACATTTATAAAATACATGGTTTTAAATGTTGCAACTTATTTGGGTTTAGATTGACAGTTACCAAAAACAATTTCAGATATTTTTGTTTTTAAGTATGAAAAAAAAAACATTTATCTTTTTACATTCAAAACACTTGATGCAGAAAAAATAGATAAACCGCTGGAAAGTTTTGTTGAAGTTAACTTATTTTAATGAATTTTTTTCCACAAAAAATGCAAGATTTTTTTATGTTGATTTTTCAAACTTATTTCTTAAACAAAAAAACTACTAATTAACTCTTATTTTCTGTCCTATCTACTCCACATATCCTATCTTTTCACTATCTACTCCACATGTCCTATCTTCCCACTGTCTACTCCAGCTTTAAGTATCTTAATACCAAATATTGCTGGTATCTAATATATATATATATATATATATATATATATATATATATATATATATATATATATATATATATATATATATATATATATATATATATATATATATATATATATATATCTTTATAATAATACTGAACTTAATAGTAGTAGAAGTGCCCTTTCGAGCCTGTTTGACAGCCATTGCAACCGCGTTAATGGCAAGAAAGATTTGTTCTATAAGAAAATATGAACGAAAGTGTATGCAAATATCTAACGTACGTAAATTTTAAATTATGTGTTGTTAAAACTAAGTTTATCAAGTTTTACAGTTTTACTTACACTTGAAAACTGCGTCAACCTCTCCTTAATTTTGATTTAAAGCATTTATTTCCGTTAAAAAAACGAAAAATTTTAAAGTTTTGTGAATTAATGTGCCAGTGTGGCCACGTGTTTTTTTTTTCTGTTATATTTTCAGTTAATATTTATAAAAATTATTTATTTAAAACCAACGTAAAACCAACGTTAGTCTGATTAACGTTGGAACGACTTCGGAACAACGATGCTTTTTTTACGCTTTTACTTTTGACATCAAAGCAACGTCAGCTTTCTAAAGTAAACACAACTTGATTTTACAAACATGCGCATTTTTAAAATGGTTGAAAAACCGTTATCGAAAAAGATGTTATTTTTAATCTAATTTTAATTTAATGGTTTTTAGAATTTATATTCTGTGATACTAATAATTAATACATTATTTCTTTATATTCTACATTCGAATTAGATATTAAACTCCCAATAAGAAAAATGACGTCGGAACAACGTTGTTCTAACGTCTTTCGTATCGTTGCAAAGACGTTGGCATGATGTTATAAATGAAACACCAAAAAAACGTTATTTTACTAACGTTATTACAACGATGGAAAATGACGTGGTGACAACGTTACATTTTAGCTGAATCACGTCGGAAAGACGTTAGAGCAACGTTAAATTTGAAGAAAAAAGACGTTATAAGGACGTTAGGCTAACGTTATATTTTAGCTAAAATGACGTTGAGCCAAAGTCTTTTCTATCGTTTTTTACTCGTTGGAATAATGGCATATATGAAAACATAGGTCAACGTTATATTAACAATGTTGCGAAACGTTGTAAGAAAAACGCCCTCCAACGTTTTTCTATCATTTTTGATGTTATTTCTACACTGCAAAAAACAATAAACGACAATTTTACACTGTATAACTTTGCGCTGTCATTCTATATTTCTTCTTATTTATTTAGGTCATACACGATTATTATATTAGTCCGGGCAAATAATTGAATACGGAAATTAAAAGACTAAAAATAAATAAACATTGCATCACTTCTATTCCAAAATTTTAAAATGATATACAATAACTTAGAATGAAACTAGTTTGATTTTTACTTTCTTTGCAAATTTCAATCATATCTCAAATAATTCGCGTATTCTTTGTTTGACACTAAAAGACAAATATATATGAAGAAACATAAAGTTACAAACAAATCCAATTAAAAGCATTTTTAAGAACTAAATAAAAAACATTCGGAATAAACAAATAGAAATACCACAAATATCAGAAATTGCGCTAACTTTCTATTTGATGCTAGCATGAGTTTTTCTGCTTTCGAAAGATTATGGACTGTAAATCGTTTAGCATTATCTGAAATAGAATGAACAATACCTCAATAAAATGCAAAACTAATGAAATTGCCTTCAAAATAATTTTAATTGAATAAATAAACAAAATTAATTTAAAACACACAATCATGAAATAATGGAAAAAAAATATGTCTAGTTTTACCCTCTGGAAAGTTATTTCTGGAAAGTTATTTTTTTACAAGTGTTATTTTGGCAATATGTTTTTTTATAACATGAATTGCATGGTAAACAAAGAAACTGAAATGGTACATTTTCACTAAGCAAAGAATCAAAAATTGTTTTTATAAATAGCTCTCTTAAAGACTAATGGTTACTTTGTTAGGTGTTTTTTCTTCCAATCCGAACTACTTATATTTCACTTAAACAATTGACTACTTGAGCAAGTGGCATCTTCTTACCAAAGCCAATAATTTTTTAAATAAAAAGGCAGACATATCAAGAAGCAATCATTCAGAAAACTATAAAAAATGAATAAGGTTATGTAAATTGTATGTTATGAATGTTGGACCATAATAATCCACAGCCTTAATAATCCAGTCATCCAAACCAATTTAATAGCATCAATGCATAACCAATACATTAATTCTGCTAATTTAATTTGTAACTGGCCATTGAACAAGGTCAAAAATTAAAAATCAGGACAAATATCAAAGGGTTTACTAAATGAGCACTTTTTATAGAGAGTTTAGTAAAATATAACATAGAATCACTTTCAAAAATATAAAAACTATTGGAATTGGCTTAAAGAAAAAATCACTGATTAAACTATATATATATATATATATATATATATATATATATATATATATATATATATATATATATATATATATATATATATATATATATATATATATATATATATATATATATATATATATATATATATATATATATATATATATATATATATATATATATATATATAAGTTATTGTATACCATTTTAAAATTTTGGAATAGAAGTGATGCAATGTTTATTTATTTTTAGTCTTTTAATTTCCGTATTCAATTATTTGCCCGGACTAATATAATAATCGTGTATGACCTAAATAAATAAGAAGAAATATAGAATGACAGCGCAAAGTTATACAGTGTAAAATTGTCGTTTATTGTTTTTTGCAGTGTAGAAATAACATCAAAAATGATAGAAAAACGTTGGAGGGCGTTTTTCTTACAACGTTTCGCAACATTGTTAATATAACGTTGACCTATGTTTTCATATATGCCATTATTCCAACGAGTAAAAAACGATAGAAAAGACTTTGGCTCAACGTCATTTTAGCTAAAATATAACGTTAGCCTAACGTCCTTATAACGTCTTTTTTCTTCAAATTTAACGTTGCTCTAACGTCTTTCCGACGTGATTCAGCTAAAATGTAACGTTGTCACCACGTCATTTTCCATCGTTGTAATAACGTTAGTAAAATAACGTTTTTTCGGTGTTTCATTTATAACATCATGCCAACGTCTTTGCAACGATACGAAAGACGTTAGAACAACGTTGTTCCGACGTCATTTTTCTTATTAAATCTTTATTAAAATATCCCAATTATTTTTTATAAAATTTTTTTGTTTTTTTTTACAAATTGAAATAAAATTATGTGTAAGAACTGACTTAAGTGTGATGTTGGCAAGTTAATTTCTGTAATAACTGGTCTACCCATAAGGTCGTCTAGTGGTTTCATTTCTATATACAAAGAGTTTGATTTGTTAAGTTTATCAATAACTTCAAGACATTTATGAATTTTTGGAGTTATTTAAAAATAACTTCACTTCAATTTGTTATTTTTGATGTAATTCATTTCAATTTTGGTTAGATAATTGATTTACTAATCATGATCTTTAAAGATAATTTTATTTGATTCAAGATTTGCCTTTTCATAAATGTTTAAAGAAAGTAGGTGGTATTGATAAACTATTTTGCTGTTATAATAAGATAAGTCTAGGAAATTAAAGTATTAATCGTACAAATAGACATATTTCTAGTTGCAGAACCGGACAATTAAAAGATAGATTTGATAACCATGTTTATAATTGCCAATGTAAACATAATACAATTAAAGAAGCTTCTTCCAATTTTGCAATCCTGTCCATTTTTTCTATGCTATTTTTCTAACACGACTACTTCTATTTTTAATTCAATATATCTTCGTTTTCACTAATATTTCTTCGTTCTTCCCAAATTCACCTTACTCTAGGTCTGTAGAGCGGGTAATGACGCTTCTTTAGGAGCTGAACTTGTCTTTGCAGGCCTTTGTAATGTGGCCTCTATATGGCAATTAGCCGGAGGAGGATAAACCACAATACCAAAATTAAACAAAGGATAAATATCATTTCCTGTTTAAAAATAGGAAAATATTATTTTGATAACAAAAATAGCAATATTGATGATTTTTTGAAAGGCTTCTGTAGCTAAAAAATATTAATCTTAAATTTAGTGTATCTTCCTTAAAATTAATTATTAGTAACAATAAAAGAAATAAATACTTCATATGCAGTGTTTATTTGTTTGAAAACTACTGTTTTGCCAAGGTATTTGTGGTAGAAAGAGAGTCAATTTAAGTCATATTTAGTTTTATGAGCTTTACTTTATAAATACAAAAACTATTTTAGGAGTTTAACAGTTTTGATGAAAATAGCAACAATTATTACAATAATGATGACAAAATAAATGAAGAAAACTTAAACAGTGTCATTGATAGACCACTTATAGAAATTTTTGAAGATAACTTCAAGCTTCCTGCTATAAACAAAGAAATTGCTATTAAAAAGTGGGTGAAATCTATTGAACTTTCTGACCACCAATGTCTTAACAATCCTATCACATGGACTGATAATAAAGGTTATCATAAAGGTGTTTATCATCCATCAGATCTACTTTTCTATTATGTAAAAAATATGGATTTTTCTAGGCGAAGAAAATTATACAGAAATCTTACAATTAATAGTCTAGCTGTTCCCGTAATCTTGCCTTTAAAGAATCCATGTTTCATGGATATGTGTTTGCATTCCGTTAATATTTCGTGGAAACCAAATATGAGGAGCTTAACCGAAAGGAATGCAGCAGATGCTGAGTTACCTGTAATCTCAATGTTACGTCTCGGTACACTTGAAAGTTTTTCAAAAGCTGAAGTTGGAAATAGATTGATAGGTACAAAAGAACACGGTTTTTTTACAAGATATTTTTCTTCAAGTAATTACTTAAGAAGTTCTTCAAATGGTTTAGTAGAAGGCCTGTGGCTTCAAAACATACAAAACATGCAAAACATAAACACATCGAGTGAAGGAAATTTTTTAAGTTCTTTTTGTCTTCTTAATCTTAGAGGTGACGCAATCGATCACAAATTAACATCAAGTAAACTTTTCTCTTTCTCAGATGTTGTAATACTATTGTGCGATAGAGCAATATTCAAAGATTCATCAAAAAAATGGGAAAAATTCCTTATAGATACGAATAATATATTAAAAAAGAACAACATGATCACACTAATTATATATTATACAAGAGAAGCAGCAGAGTTTATGAAGGAATTTAGTAACTTTATTAAAAATAAACTTCAAAAAATAAAAAAAGTAGAATATAAAACAGAGTTCAGTGACCTTCAAAAGTTGTTAAAAAGTTTAGTGGGTAATATTTCATCATCAAAGAGTTTAAATTATCGTTTTAAAGAGCTAGATAAAGAATCAATTTGTATCAATAAGCAGTATTTAAATTTTGACTTTAATAAAAAACTTTTGGAAGATATGAGTAGAATTTCAGAAGAGCATACTTTTCTCCCTTTTCAGTCAAGAGTAAAAAAGTTCTCCCAAATGCAACGAGAACTTAACAAGTGTGAAAACTCGGATCAACATAAAGATATTGAAAACAAAATGAATAACATTAGATTGAATAATATAAATAACTTATATCACATTCCTAAAACTATCCTTGAATTTATGGAAAATATTTATCTATCAAAGGACAAAACTGTTTTTATATACAGTGTTAAAGATACTTTGAATGATTGGAGCAAAGAAAATATTCCACATGTGAAAGAAAATATTGAAAAGCTAAAAAACGAAATATCTGATGAAAATTCAATAGTTGATAAACTAAAAGGCCTGATAAAGAAAAAGAAAAAAATGACTGTTGGCTTAGAACATTTGTTCCGCGAACTTGGAGAAATTTATGAAACTTCTCAGTTGGTCGAAGAAAGTATTTTTAAAGAAACTTTTAAAGAATTACCTAGTATGGCTGCCTCACTTTTATTAAAAGGCTTTGCACTAGAGATACTTAATGGTGACGGATTCAGCGTAAATGTAAAATGGATTCGTGATGTTTTATGCGCTTTAGAAGAACAACTTAAGGAATACCTTAGAATTAATCGTAAACCAAGGATTTTTGTTTTATCAGTTCTGGGTGCTCAGAGTAGTGGAAAATCTACATTACTAAATACAATGTTTGGATTAGAAAATCCGGTCAGTTCGGGAAGAACTACAATTGGCTCATTTATGCATCTTGTTCCAATTACCATTCCAAACTTTAATTTTGATGCTTTTTTTGTAATTGATACCGAAGGGTTGCTCGCTCCAGAATTTGTAAGTGTTTATTCACATGACAACGAAATTTCAACTTTGATATTTGGAATATCTGATCTCACTATAATCAACAACAGAAGTGAATTTATAACAAAAGAAAACTTTTTAGAAATAAGTGCTTGTGCTTTGATGAAAATAAAGATGATCGATTTTCATCCACGTTGTATTTTTGTTCAACAAGGATGCGATAATACGGCAAAGGTTTATAACTCAGAAAACAGAGAAAAGATTTTAGAAACATTAAACAGTAGCATTAAAAGTTATGCCAACACAATTGGAAAAAAAGACATAACTCGTTTTTCAGACATTGTAGATATCCAAAGTGATAACTTTTTTTACTTTCCTCATTTAAACTCAGGATCAAAGTCTATAAGCTCTCTTTATGTTAACGCATGTTCTGAACTGAGGGAACATATTTTAGTAGATATTTTATCTAAATCAAAAAGCTTTCGAACCATGGACAAAATATATGACCAGATAAATCAAGTCTGGAAGTGCATTTTAAAAGAAAACTTTGTAATGAATTTTTTGAATGCTGCATATGTTGAAGCACATTACGAAGTAGACATAGAAATACGAAAATGGAAATCTAAGCTGGAAGAAGAATTAAATATTTTTACACAAATTTTATGTCTGGATATGGATCAGGAATCAATTGAAACAAAAATAATGGAATTAAATAAAAATGCAAAAATGTATTTTAATATGTTATCTGAAGAATTTAATACATTCATTGCCAACAAAAAAAACAAATCTGGTATTTTCAAGGACCTTTACGCACAGTGTGTGGATACAATGAAACTTTTTAATGAACGCTGTATAAATAGATACACATTGCAGATCCAACGATGGTTTGAGCATTTCAAGCAAAAAGATAATTTAAAAGGCAAATTTAAAATTGAGATACACAAACAAGCGAGAGAAGTTGCAAAACAATGTTTACTTACAGAAAGAATAAAAGTTTTTTCCAATGAAGAAAGTAATACAGAGTTTGACAAATTTTGGAACTCAACAAGTGAGGCTGTTTATTACGAGTTCAAGAAATTCTCTCTCAATGACAAAGCTGATTTTGTTAAAGACTTACAAAATGAGTTATTTCTAATCACCGAAAAATTAAATAACAAAATAGAACACTCAGAAGACTATTTAATTAAATTCGGAGATCAATTAGAAATCCCATATAAACCTGAGTGGATACAAGAATCACTTCATTTAAAAGAATTGGTTGAATCAGCTGAAATTGAAATGAAAAAATGTTTAGATTTTCAAGAGGTTGAAGGAGGGTATAAAATATTAAAAATACAACTAGGTTTAGTTTTTGACAGTACCACGCTTGTAAATATTTACCTTAAAAATGTCGAAGAAATCATAGACCAACAAATTGCTATCCATAATGATAAAGAACTTGAAGTATTAGAAAAACCAGTCCAAAAAAATGGGGAAATAAAAGCATTTTTATTATACCATGCGGCGCACCTTGCAGTAAAACCATTTAAACAAGCACAGGAATATTTTCAACAGTACTTAGACATACCTAATCAAATTCAAAGTATGAAAGAAAGCGTAAAAGAAGAATTCTTGATGATTCTGAACAAAGAAACTAACCTTGTCATAGCAGCAAAACAATATGCAAATCTTTTGCACAAAGCCATTGTTGAAAAGGTTTTAAACGAAGCGCTTCGGTCGGGCGAAAGTGCTTTTTTTAACAAAATCCCGCTAAAAGAGCATTTGCATGGTTTAGTTCTACTTGATATACTGCATATTATTAGCAAAAATTCTTTTATAAAAAACAAGAAACGAGAAACGCTTCTCGAAGATTCAGATAAAAAATATATAACACAATACTTTCGAAATCCCTTTGTAACTTTTGATAATAAAATCTACGCAATTATAGATCATTATTATTCCAGGTTGTCAGATTCCTTGCAAGTCTGTTTTAAAGAACACGTTAGTAAAGTTAAAAACATTATTGATAATCTTAATGCAAGTGTACAAAACGAAGATAAAATTTCTCTCTTGTTTAAAAACGAACATATAAGAAGTTTACACATCGATGAAATGGATATTATTGTAACTTCTACTATAGCTAAAGATAATACAACTGAAGATAAAAATGAGATCTTAAACAAAATTTTATCATTTTTATTATTAGCCGTGCTTGAAGTACCAAACTTGTTTAAGACAAATTTTAGGTATAAAGTTTTTTTAGCGGTAAGTAAGGAGTTAATTACTTGCACAGCTACGTGTCCGTTTTGTGGAGCACCGTGTGATTGTAGTCATGGCATTGATCCAAATCACTCTTGCAGAAGCCACAGACCAGAAGGATTTGGTGGAATGATTTGGAATGGAGTTTTTTTCCTTTTTAAAAACCAATTTGTTACAAATATATGTACTGATTCAATAAAGTGCAAAACTTATTTTAAAAATAGCGATACAAAATACAAATATATAAAGTATTCTGAATATAAAAAAGTTGACAATAACACATTTTCCGTAGGTGATAAATACACAAGTTGGGACATTAGCGATGATGCAAACAACGAAGTCCTAGTCTTTTGGAAGTACGTAACTTATAATCTGATGTCAGTTATTGATGACATTTTTCCTGATGCTCGAAAAGTTAATGTTAATCACTGGTCAAGTTTTTCAAGAAAAGAAGCCCAAGATGCAGTGGAAAAAGAATTTCACATTGTTAATTTAGCAACTTTAGTTGAAAACCGATATTTAGTAAATTTACACGATAAACAAGATGAAATAAATAAATAATAAAAAATAAATAAATTAAATTAAAATAAAAAAAGCAACATGAACAATAAAAGTTATTAGCAAAGAAAGTATATTATTACTCCTCGATATTCCTTATACAGTAGCATGATTTAAAACTAATTTACCTGCTCTAAACGTTACCAATTAATAAAGGTACATAACCGATTAATAAATATAATAAAGAAAATAAGTTTTTATTATAACTACATAACAAACAATTATAAAAAAGTTAATAGATGTTTATTTTGTCAAATTTTATTCTTTTATTTTTGTTCAATTAAAGAAAATAGTTCTTTTTTTGTTTTAAATATAAAAAAATTTGTTGTTATGTTATTTTTATTTTTTCATATTATCAAGTTAATCAAAGCTTTGCAATATTTATTTGCTATACTTTTTATAAATACCAGTTTTTGCTTTCAACTTTAACAAAAAAGTATGAATAATTAAAATGGAGTTCTTAAGTACTTGTATTAACCATTGCCCAAAACCTAGCCGATAGGCAACTTTTATCAACCGTAATCTTAGCTCATAAATGTTTGATATGAAACCAGTGTACTGATTACTTAAAATGCGTTGATAAGTCCTTTGGTTTGTCCAAAAATGTAAAATAGTTTCGCAACCGTGGTTTAGTTTTTAGATATCTTAAAAACTTGTTCGTTAGGAAAAAGATTTTTTAGCTGTTTATATGTTTTTAGAAATTTAAAATTCTTTAAAAATTAATCTTTAGTAACTCAATTCAACAGAATAATTTAAATATTTACTAAATTCGGATGTTAAATAGAATCAATTTATTTTAAAATATGTAAGTTTAGACTTCTTTTTTTGCTTTAAATCACAGCACATCATTTAATTAAAATCCAACTAAATTAATTTTTAAAAAAATCAAAAAATCCTTTTTTCTTAAAAACTAAAACCTAAAGTTTCATTGGTGGTATTTCATAATTCCATTCATACTTGTTATACTCTATTTAATTTCAAGTTTAAAAAAATGTTGTCATTGCCATTTTGTCGCTATTTTTAATGTTTACAATTGAATATTATTGGCAAACCAAATAAATACTATATTTTTAAGTTATTATACATGTATCTATATGCGTCAACGTATGAAGATTAGGTTTAAATAGACATTTTTAGCGAACCGCTGTAGTTTTGCTTATCGATTACTTAGTGGACCATTAGAGGCAGCCGCCAAAAGTGGTTAACATATAACTATCCACTATTAACATATCGGAAAGTAATCGGATTTTCATTTATAGCGGCTGCCACTAATGGTCCACAAAGTGGCCAATGAGCAAAATTCCAATGAACCGTTAAAAATGCCTGTAGAGGTTCACTGAAGTTCCACCATAAAGTGTTTGCTGGATAAGTTTGCTCATCGGTCACTATATTGGCTGTCACTAATGATCCACTAGTGGCATCAAAAACTATCCAATGATTAGCTTCCAAAAGTTGCTAGCCGATGGCTAGCAACTTTTGGAAGCTAATCATCGGATAGTTTTTGTAGGAAAAATATTAAAAAACCTGGAAACTATAAGATATAATTATGTTATTTTGGCTGCCAATAATGGTCCACTAAGTAATCGATGAGCAAAACTACAGTGATCCACTCAAAATGCTTATATAAACCCACTTATGTTCTGCTATAGAATATTTGCTTGGTAAGACCGTACCACAATAATGAACGATTTTTGGCCTCATTCTTCCTTTAGCTAGCCTATTATACCTCCTTGATGCAGTTTATAATAATTTTATCTCAATAATTTTGCTTATTTTATAACATTTATTGTATAAAAAAATGCTGTTAAGAGTTAGAAGAAAAGACTTGAAGACAAATAATAGTGTTTAAGAGCAAGGTAACAATTAAAAAACAACTTATAGAATAAAAAATAGAAGATGGAAGCTAGTTCCGAAGCTTTGTGCAAGAAAAGAAACCAAATGAATAAAAGTGATAGATAAAATAAAAAAATGTGACTTTTTACTTTATCTATTACTTCATGCTCAATGAAGTGATAGATAAAGTAAAAAGTCATATTTAAATGACAAGTTAAGCAAGAATGAGTTTTGGTTGACGGAATTAAAGAAAATAGCTCGTTTGAGCAGAGACCAATGTAGTATTTGTAAAAAAGGGAAATGATGGGACCTTTTGAAGAAGGGGCAGTGGTTTGAGCGTAACAAAGAGAACAAAGCTTAACAAAGAGAACAGGTTCAGCTACATTCAAAAAAAAAATTGACCTTGTACAGAAGAGAAAGAGCACCATTAGAAGCACTAACCAATATCTGTCAACAGTTTTTCATACAAAAACGAATAAAAGAAGGCGAGCACAATAAAGGAAGCAATTGGAACGTTAGCACCTACTTAAGAGGTGCTAACGTTGCAATGAATTTTATGTTATTTTAATGGATATATATCATGGTTATTTGCAATAAATTATAGAAAAAAGTGGAAAAAAGTGGGATGCGGGGTAAGTGGTACAGCTGAATAATTTTAATTAGGAGCATTTCTAATTATTGTTTAATGAAAACAGATTTTGTATTGTCTTTTTATCTCACATTATTTTGTTTATATGCGTGTGCCAGAAACAGCTTTTTTTGAAAGTATTTTTTGCTCTCACGTTTTTGTTGCAAGCTTTCCCTATTTTATAAAAAAGTGCATTTTTTTAAAATTTTATTTATTTTAGTACAAAAAATATATATTTAAACTTTAATTATAAGGTTGTAATTTTAGTTTTATTTCGTCTGTCATACATATTGTTGCTGTTTTGAGCAAGAAATCGATACTTGAAAGCTTAAAAATAGCATGAAAGTTTTTTTAGTTACTAAACATGGTAATAATTTTATATTAGGTCATACCTTGAGTTTATAAAAGAAAGAATGAAAGTCTACATGTTTCAGAACACATTCAGGAACTTGCTATCGCCAAAGTAAAAAAACAGATAAGCCTCAATAAAGCAGCATACTCAGCTGGCATTTCAAAGCGGCTGGTGTAGCAATACCCCCTGCTATTATTTTTCGAAGAAAATTAATTAAAAACGCACTAATGAAAGGAGCACCAGAAGATTCTATGACACTTGTCAATAAATCTGGATGGATAAAGGCTAAAATATTTATAAACGTTTTAATTTTGTTAAGTTTGCACTTCCAACTACAAATCTCAACGTTTTAATGGTTATGGATAATCATAAAAGCTACTTTTTGCTACAGTTACTTAAATATGCAACTATGGCAACTATGTTTGTGTTATGAGTTTTGTGTTATGTTTGTGTTATGAGTACCACATACTTCACATAAGACATAACCTTTAGATGGGTCTGTTTTGACCCAGTGAAAGCATATTTTAATGCCGATGCCATAAGCTAAATGCTTAGTAATCAAGGACAATCCATATAAGCTAAATGCTTTGTAATCAAGGCCATTACAATATATTAGATTATTAGTCTAATTTGGCATGGAAAAAGTCTTCCACACAATCAAATATTATATCAGGATTTCGCATTACATGATTTTGGCCTTATAACAGACGTATACAATGATAGTATGTCTTTACAATCAGTTGTTACAGATAGAGATGAGTCTTAAGAACTATGCAATGATATCTCCTGTGATAAATTGATTTCAGGTACTAATTTTCCAGGTGCTAATCTTTCAGATTAGCACCTGATTCATCTCTAAATGAAAGATTAGCACCAGGTGCTAATCTTTCATTTAGAGATGAATCACAAGATATTTATGACCCATGCAATAAAGGTTAATTTGAGGAATCTAATTTTAAGTACTACTGATATAGATATCTCAAGTTTGGGTTTGCAACATGGAGCAGTAGAAAGAAATTAAACTGAGTTTTCTCTCGAGATTGTACAAGGTTATCAAAAAGAAATTGAAACTAATTAATTTTAGCTCAGATTTTTTATTAAATTTTATAAATAATATAATAAATATAATACATAAATTCTAGAAAAAAATACAGTTGATGCAAATCTATAAATATTTTGCAGGTTTTACCTTGTAAGATTGTAAGAGCCGGACGAATATGAGGAAAGTATTTGATCGGAACCAGAGATTTAAAGTGTGTGAGAAAAAATGTATTTTGCAAATCACTCAATTTGACTTATAAATATAAATTTAACTTTGATGTTTATGTCAACAAAATAGCAAGTGATATTTTTACTAACTGCTATAATAGGAAGAACTGGAAACCATTTCTTTTGGCGCAATACAAAGTGTGAATGTCAGTGAGTATGTTCTTTGTGAGTTTTGCACTGAAAACACCATTTCTTATTGTGAATGCAGAATATAAAAAGAAATGAAAGATTTGATGAAGAATATTTGATGAAGAAGATGTGATGAAGAATATTTGATGAAGAAGGTTTGATGAAGAAGATGTGATGAAGAATATTTGATGAAGAAGATTTTATGAAGAATATTTGATGAAGAAGATTTGATGAAGAATACTTGATGAAGAATACTTGATGAAGAATATTTGATGAAGAAGATTTGATGAAGAAAATTTGATGAAGAAAATTTGATAAAGAAGATTTGATGAAGAAGATGTGATGAAGAATATTTGATGAAGAAGGTTTGATGAAGAAGATATGATGAAGAATATTTGATGAAGAAGATTTGATGAAGCATATTTGATGAAGAAGATTTTATGAAGAATATTTGGTGAAGAAGATTTGATGAAGAATACTTGATGAAGAATATTTGATGAAAAAGATTTGATGAAGAAGATTTGATGAAGAAAGTTTGATGAAGAATATTTGATGAAGAATATTTGATGAAGAATATTTGATGAAGAATATTTGATGAAGAAGATTTGATGAAGAAAATTTGATGAAGAAGATTTGATGAAGAAAATTTGATGAAGAATATTTTAATCAAGAATATTGTGTAGTACAAAAAGAAATGAAAGATTTAGTTAAAAAGAAGTCAGCTTCTTAAAATGTCAGAATAAAGAAACTTCTATATTTGTCAAATTTGGAGTTAATGAATTAATAATGGTCCTGCTTCAACCATAACTGTTCTGATTAAACAACATTGATAGCAAAAACCATTAAATGTGATAAAACTTTTTTTTTTAACAAAGAAAGTGTAAATCATTGATACTAAATATGCAATTTTGAAATGAAAACACATTGAATATTTTTGTTTTATTTAATCTAAACTTAACTTTAAAATCAAGAGTTAGCTTAAATTATTATTTTACTTTTTTTAGAGTAGTTTTTATATAGTCCGA